ACAAAAAACATAAAAAATAGAAACAAAAAATAATTTCAGAACTACTTTTTCAAATAATTAAATTGTCTAAAACCTAAATCAATAAATCATAGATCTGATAGCAATCTATGAAATTCCATAACAAAAAAAAAGTCAAATTCTGCTAATCCCTAAATCATAAAATCACGGTTTTAGATCCAGATGATTTTGTAAGCGCACCTTTTCGAATACCAACCTTTTTGAATACCAGCTCTTGCAATGAGGATGCAGACCCCCCGCCAGTTTTCCTTCGGCTTGCCATAATGTCCGGCCTTGCCGCTCAATCTCTCGTCAGAACCCTTGGCTCGATGCCCCTCTAAGGAGAACCCGTCGGTGCCCGTTCAGCCCTACTCGTAATCCAATCGTCGGACCTTCGTTCAACCACCCATCCGCCATCGCATCAATTCGCTGCCGTCGATTGAGTGGAGGGGTAATTGCATGGTCTTCTGCCAATTGAAGTATAAAAGAAATAGGAAAGAGACGAATTAGGAAGAAAGAAAAAGAGAAGGGGAACAAAGTGATGCGGCAGATAAGATCAGGATGGCTAATGACGCAACAATTTCGTAATTGTGAACCAATTAATACTTAAGAGGAATAAAGTTTTTAATCTCGTCATTTGGGAAATAAAAATGAATGGAATCGTTCAGGGGGTAATTCTTTAGGGCATTTTTGGCAGAAATACACATATACGAAATTATTTTGCTAACATTAAAATAAAATGAGATTATAAAGTTAATAACATTTATACGGCTGTGAAAAGATTATATGCCATTTATATAAACCTTTTGAAGCATGGAATGTATTTATATGATTGTTGGTCAAAATAACATTTCCGTAATTGATTCAAGAACAGTAAATTCACAAAAATAAAATGGTTCTTCTATCTCTTTGTGAGCTCTTTTCGTGTTTATCTCTTTTTATTCATATCTCTCTCATATTTTTTTCTCCATCTCTCCCCACCTTCTTATTAAATTTATGCAATGATAAAGGTGAATCAACGGTAAAGCACAACATAATAAACAACCAATTAATTCAATAAGGAAAAAATAAATCAATATTAAACCAACAAATTTGCAGACAACACAATAAATAACAGCAGCTATGAGAGGCACTTTGATTGCAAAACATAACAAAAATCCATGAATAACCCAAAGTAAACTACATGTTCATAAGTAAACTTTAAATTAACCTCTTAACAACCAAAGATAAACACATATATTATTAACCTCTTAACCCAAAGTAAACTACACGTTCATAAGTAAACTTTAAAGTAACCTCTTAACCTCTTAACGACCCGCATGGGATATAGTTATCTTCAGTGTTTGCTTCTCGAGCCTTGGGCCGCTGAAATTCTATCATCAATTTTTCAGATCTTAAATCATAGATCTAAGATCAATGAAACCTTCTCAACAAAAAAATAAAATTAAAATTTACTAAACCTTAAATCAGTAAACCACACCTCGAGGCGACACACGGTGCAAGCGGCGGAAGGAGGGAGCTGAAGAGGGAGAGGATCTCAAAGCGAGGGCGACGTTGGCGGCAATTCCCACGGCCAGAAGAGCAGAGCACGAAGGAGAAGGCCGCGTCAACAGTTTGACGCTAGAGGAAGGGTGGCCAGTAATTTGTTCGGGTTAATTTTCGCCGGAAAACGCCTCATCTCTGTCGCAGACACACCACTCCAAGCTAAGCATGATTGTTCTCAAGTTTACTTTAATTTCTTTGTTCAGTATGTGTTTCTGCCCAGATCTAAGAATATGTCAAGGATATAAGTTTTCTCTTACTCTGTGTTTATGTGTACGTTTCTTTTACAAATGAAAAAGATAAGAGAAAAAAAGCACAATTCTGCATAAGTCTTCTATTGTTCTGTATGAGTTGCCTCTGAAGCTTTCTCTGAAGATGAGCAAAATAAAAGAAAAAGCATTTTTTGGTCTTGGACAAGAGTGAGCCACGTCCTGGCCACGTCGCCACTTTTCCTCTCATGTTTTTCCTTTGGCACGCAAAACAAAAAAAAATGGCTTCTCCAGCTTGAGGATGATCGAACTGTTAGAGTAGTATACCCTGCGTTCCAATTGGATTGGATGTATTCTACTTGTATATACAATATATTGGAATTATATTAATTAAAAGACATTACTTTATCTTAAGAGTAAGCATTTATACTATATTTGTACTTAAGATAAAATTCCTAGATCACATATAGCTATAAGATATGGTTGTGCATAGAGATGGTAATCATGGAACATATCTTAAAAGTTGTGATCTTAAATAAAGTTCCAAGTCAATGGATGTTTCGAAAAGGGATATCGAATAATCCATAAAAGACTTGTACATAGTATGTATGCTTGTTCGACAAGAATGTTGCATTCCATCAACATTAGCGTGGGAGGCAAGTACATATATGTGGGTGCTTGTTAGAGAACAAGTTCACTGAACATGACCGTATGAAAATTCTTAATGAAGAATCTTAATGAAGAATTATTCTGTCGAATAAGAATTTTCATGTTACAATAGTACATGACTAATCCTTAGACTTGAGGCACAATGGTAATTTTGTGCATATTACATTTTACTTTGATTTATCCTTTTGGTTGCTAGCACAATCGTATAAAGGGATATTTTGGGTATTATGTTAATATGTATGGAAGTTTGTTAGTGGCCAACAAAGGATTCGACACGTATAAAGATACGAGAATTTTCTATGTATTTCATAGTTAGTAATTCAAAGTCCTTGGCCAAGGCAGGATGAATAGCGATTCATACATGAATTACTAAACATGAAATAGAATCATAGTTATTAAATCAATTTGGGTTTCGACTAAAATCATACCCAAGATTTAATCGGGAAATTAGATGTCGAAAGGATTTTACATGTATGGACTTGTAATTGAAATAGGTTTACTCGCTATTCACTTAATACTAGATTCATGCTACTTGCTAGATGTTCCCATGATATGTGGGTTCTTGAATTAAAGAGTTAATTCATGAATAAGAGTTAATTTGATTAACTCAAATTACAAAGAGTTGTAAACCCACTACTAGTATTAATTGTGAACCTAAAAGGTCACACCAATTTTTGAATGAAGGTGAAAATCAAATAGTAATTCGAAAGAGTTAGAATTAAATTGACAAATCTAATTTGATTAAATGTCAATTAAAGGAATATATTAAAATTAATCAATTGGATTGATTAATTGAATTTTGGATATTAATTTAGTAATTAATGGAATTATTAATTAATATTTTGAATTTAAAATTAGATTTTAAATTTCAAATCCAAATAATAATATGATTATTAAATAAGGAAATAGAATAAAAGATTAAAATAATAAAGTCTTGAAAGATGCCTTCAAGAATTATTATTTTATGATATATCTTTAATAAGATTAAAGATTAAATATTAATAAGAATAATTAATTATGGTGGTTAAGAGATTCTATCTACTTAACATAATTAATCTTATTCTTATTAATTGAATATTGGGTGGGGAATAGTCTTGTTCAAGATTTAATATTTATGAAAATATTCTTGAAGACTTTTAATATTTTATGAAAATATTCTAACCAATATTATTATTTTATACTAAAATGTTTAGTATAAATATGGACATACTTGATGTTCAATTTTAAGCTAAGTCTTGCAAAATTTTCAAGAGTTGAAAAAGAGAGAAAAGAAGAAGTGTTCTTCATATTCCAAAACAAGAAAAGTTCTTGTAAATTTCCTTATAAAATATATTCAATACTATTGATAAAAC